TTCCCTGGTCTCTCTGTTTTGGTTTCCCTGCATGTGGGTCCATTTACACACAGATCAAGCAATCCTCATTTATGAAAGTTATTTTGTTTCAAAACTATTTGTGCATTGTTAGTGTGAATTTGAAGTTGTAGAGAAAGTTACATTCCAAGTTTTGTATTTGTAAAAAAAAAAATTCAAAAGTACAATTTTTTTTTTTTTTTACACCTGTTCAAATTCTAAGTAAAAGTACACAAATGCTGTTTTACAAGTGGACATCGAAAACGTCTTACAATCTCAGTTTTGCTTCAAATGGTTCACAACTATTGTTGCAAAATTATTTGTGCGTTGTACCTTTGGTGTTTTGTAACTGTAGATTTTTCTGTCACAATTACAAAAAAAAGTCACACCTCTTCAAATTCTTGAGTACAAGTACACAAATTGTGTTCTGTGAGTTGAACATCTAAAGTTTTAGAGACACAAAATCGCTTAGGTTAAATACAGTTTTTAATTAATTATTTAATTATCATGAAGACTAAGACTAAGATAGCTTTAAAAAATAACGCGGCCAGGAAGCTTTTGAATTGAAAACATTTAAAAATTTTGAATTAAAAAAGCTTCCTGGATGGGAAGCAAAACGTCTTCAAACTTAGAAACAAAATCCAGTGGATTGTTTTTTAAAAACTTTTTTTTAAAACCTATGACAACGCCATGACAATCCAGACCTAAATTTCAATATGTAAATTTAAATGTTGAAATATTCAAATGGTGGAAACAAGAATAGACTTTATTCAAAAATAAACAGAGTGCAATTAAATATTTGCTTTGGATATAATTTAGTGATTCCTTTTAGGAGAAATTAAAGAATGTTTAGTATCACCACATGTAAGCTGGAAGATATAAAATCTTGATAGTTAGACAAAGGGATTTTCTTTGCTTTGCAGAGGAGGATCAGCCACAGATAGTTTATAAAGTAGCGAGGGCAGGAAGAGCCATCATTGTGGGAGGTAAAGCACAGACAGGAAGATCAGAGTTTGTCACAGTTCAGCGTGCAGTTTTGGACCATTTCAGATTATTCATCCCCACCGATGCTGCCATGGTGCATATGTGGTCATGCAGAATGTGCAGCACTGCAGCTAGCTGCTTAGCAGATTACAGCACAGTGCATTTTAAATGTCTGACAGACCACCCGCTAACATTTTCATTTAGTCTCGTCAACAAAAACTCACTCACTCATGTTTTTGTCATCAAAGATCCATGTTTAGCTCGCCAGTTCTCTTTTATCGTCATGAAAAAAATTAGCAACAAAGAAACCTTTTTGTCATTTTTGACGAAAACAACATTAAAAACCTTTTTAAGAAGACTTTGACTTTGTTGGAGGGCTGGTAAGAAACCTACTTCAGCAC